CACATACATCCCACCCCCAGGTGTGCTACCACATATGGCTGCATAATTCCCCCTGTGGGTTGGGCCACTGGGTCATGGGTTTGTGCTTGTTCACCTCTTTCCCTAGGCTCCTTTGGTGAATCTCCTTCTGTCTATGCTAACAAGTATTCAGCAGGCTGCCTATAAGATGGCAGTGGCTGTCGTGGACCACTCACACAGCACCAGTATCTACTGCCATCAATTGGCCAGCAGGGTCACTTCCCAGGACCAGCAAGTTTGCCAGGTCTGCTGCTGTCATCAGTCAGGGCAAGGTTTCATCGTGGTTCTGATTTGCATCTTTTAATGTGCTTGTTGGCCATTTTTGTATCTTATTTGGAGAAACAGCTATCAAATTCTTTGCCCATTTTTAAATTAGTTTTTTAAAATTGAGTTATAAGAGTTTTTATACATTCTGGATGCAAGCCCCCTATCAGATATATGATTTGCAAATATTTCCTCCTATTCTGTGGTTGTTTTTTCATATTTAATTACATTTCAAAACACATATTCTGGAAATGGACTGTGGACTTTTTAAAAACCAGGAAATTGTTATGAAATAAATCAGAAACGTGCTAAGGTTTTTATAAGGCAAGTATTTAATGAGTGTGTAAAATAAATTACATGCATATATAAAGCTTATTGACCTAAAAGAGAAATCTAGATTAACTTAGAAGTGAGATATCTCAAGAGCTCTTAATTGGTAAAAGATTATTACAAAACTGAAATATGGAGGAGGACCTGTATTTTCTCTCTCCTGCTTTACCATGAAATAAAAGATTACATAGTTCAAGGCTCAGAAAATTAATCCAGGGGCCGGCCCGGTGGCGCACTGCTGCAGTGCGCCACTTGGGAGTGCGGTGGCGCTCCCGCCAAGGGTTCGGATCCCACATATAGACCGGTTCCCGCTCACTGGCTGAGTGAGGTGCGGGAGCAACACCGAGGGTTGCGATCCCGTTGCCAGTCCCGGTCCGGTGCGGGCGCGACACTGAGTGTTGCGATCCGTTGCCGGACACGAAAAAAGACAAAAAGGAAAAAAAAAAAAAAAAGAAAATTAATCCAGGAGTGCTAAGGGGTAAATTTAACAGCCTTTTCTCTAATTAAACAGTTAGAACTGTTTAATGTTTTCTGCCAGATCAGTAGATCATTCTTTTGTTGTTGTTTATTCACTTATACTTTGAGCAAACATTTTAAAGCCACTAGCATATCCAGGCATTATTTTTAAAGGTAGAAGACTCTGGAACACACCCAGAACTTCACATAATGAAGTATCACCAAGCCCTCAGGTGCAAGGGGACTGATACAAATAATCATGCAATTCCTTAATAAATACATGGAGCACCTGCCAAGTTCTGGGCATTCTGTTAGGCAATGGGAACATAGGAAAAAATAAAGCAGGTAAGTGCTAATCAAGATCTGTTCACATGTGTTTGGAAATACCTACAATGAAGCAACTCCAACTAAGAGTGGAGGTTGGGGGTCAGATAACCTCCAGCACTTATGAATTTGTGAAGCACTTTCATATTCATTCCACAAATATTTATTGAGCATATAATATATGCATGGCACAAGGTGCAAGAGATATACAACCAAGCAGCTCACAAGCTAGTGAATAAACACACAGACAAATGAATGCACACCTGAAGCTTCACAAAGCGGGGATCTTACCTGGATCACTGATGTGTGCCACGTGCCTAGATCAGAACGTGGTGCATGACTGGCACTTAGGAATATTTGCTGATTGAATGAAAGCAAGCACAGAAGAGGGGCACAGAAGCCAGCCAGGGCCAGGCCATTCTCTTATGGGAGCCTCCCGGCAAGGCAGCATGAAATGTGTGTTGTTATTATCCCCATAAGGAATGGAGGCTCAGGAAGTGTCAGAGACACGCTAAGGTGTCTTGGGTTGTAAGTGCTAGAATCTGGCCTGTACACCAAAGCTCAGGTTCTTGCCTCTAGATACAGGCACAGTATCCAAACTTGTATGATAATAGCAAATGTAAAGAGGCCACCAAGAACCCCTTGCTTAACTTTCTTCCTCCCCAAATACGAAATCCAGTTTGGGAACATGAGATGAAATTCAGGAAGTTCCTAAATGAAACAGAAATGTGAGCATTTGAACACATTTCAGAGCTGGCCTGGAAGCTTGTCCAGAGCTGCGATCCTCAGCTACCCCGCTTAACCCAAAGCAGACCCAACAGGCTGAGGGAGTTAAATACAGTTGACCCCTGGACAATGCCACGGTTAGGGGTGCCAATCCCTGTGCAATTGAAAAATCCACGTGTAACTTTTGACTAAGCAAAAATTTACCTATTTAACTGCCAGTTTAAGCATTCTGTGAACTTTCTCCTGGGTTGCTGACACATCGCACTGCATCCAAGCCCCATGAGAGGTTCTCCAAGTAGTTACTTAAGTAGTAACTACTAATAGCCTACCAATATTACCTAACAGGAGGCTACTTAACTGTTTCATTAGACATGTCATGCATGCATGACATGCCTAACCAAAAATGTTCTAATATATTTATTGGAAAAATCCACATATAAGTGGACTCACACATTTCAAACCCTCGTTGTTCAAGGGTTTGCTGTAATTTGAATATTTAATTTTTTCACTGGGGGAGGAAAATGAATAAAACGTAATTGCTAAAATCAAGCTAGTAAGTCTAGCTGGGGAGGTGAGGAAAGTAATTATAATATCTATTTGAATATGTTAAATAAAATAAGAGACATCTGGAGGTGGATCGTGGTAATGGTTGTAAAGCAATGTGAATATACTTAATGTCATTGAACTGTCCACTTAAAAATGTTTAAGATGGGGGCCGGCCCGGTGGCGCACTGCTACAGTGCGCCACTTGGGAAGCGCGGCAGCGCTCCCACCGAGGGTTCGGATCCCACATACAGACCGGCCACTCACTGGCTGAGAGAGGAGCGGGGGCAACACCGAGGGTTGCGATCCCGTTGCCGGTCCCGGTCCGGTACGGGCGCGACACTGAGGGTTGCGATCCGTTGCCGGTCACGAAAAAAAAAAAAAAGACAAAAAAAAAAAATGTTTAAGATGTTAAAAAAGAAACAAATAAATAGCATGGGAGACATAAACTCTGGTTGTGGGTATAAAAAAGTTTCTTGGAGGAGAGAATATTTGACTTGGAATTTAGAGAACAGAAGGAACAGGACTTTCTTTCTTTGTTTTTGGCAGCTGGTAGGTACAGGGATCAAACCCCGGACCTTGGTGTTATCAGCACTGCACTGTAGCCAACTGAGCTAACCAGGCAGCCCATGAATGGGGACTTTGATAGGCAAAAATAGGGCAGCAAGTCAGCTGGAGGCCCAGCGTGAGCAAACACCAGGGGCAGGCAAGATGAGGGCACAGGATGTACTGTTGCTTATTTCAGGTTGGGGCACAGACCACGTGGCAGCTGGCTAGTGGGGGAGGGACTGTGGATAGGCCCCTCCCAGCGGGTTCAGACAGGATTCCAGGAAGCCAAGAGTGAGTTCACCCTGAGTGACATGCATTTTTTTGTTTTGTTTGTTAAACATCATGGAGACAAGGCAAAGAGCTAGGAAGGTATTATAAAGTGCCTATACACAGCCGGAGTGCCTGAGTAAGGGGACCGGCCATCGGGAATAAGAGGGTACGGACAACACTGGAGACACAGTCTTGGTGACACATGGAGTATCAGTATATCTGTGTGCTGGGGAGAGTGTAGGACTGGCATTATTTTTTTTAAGGACTTGGAAGTTCATTCTCATTCCCAGAGAAAAATACTTTAAGTGATCAAAAGCTTACTCTGCTCAACACCTGCCAAGAGGACTTCCTGGGCAGGGACACCTGGAGGGTGTGTGATCTTCAATATGCTCCTTCTAGGGTGGGTCCAATGGCTTTATTCCACAAACCACTGAGTGACAGGGCAGTGTGGGGAGTTGTTCCGGAACATGACGTGGTGAGGAGGGACTCTCATTCAAGGCAGTTCCAGAAACCATCTATTCAGCCTTTAGGATTAAGCACCACTTGCATTACATCTGCTTCTAGCCTTGCTGTCGTGTATTGCTTGTCAAAGTATGACAGGAACTCCTGGAAACACTATTTTCAGTCCTGTCCAATGCAGAAATAATGAGAAAACCATAGTACATCTTTCCCTTTCTGTAGCAACTGCTTGAAAAAACACCATATTTTTATAAGATGAAAGCCACTTTGAGCAGCATGAGAAAAATACCTCAAGCATAATTTGCCCCTTTTTGACTCTCCTGATAAATTTGAGCCTCTTAAGAATTTTCTCAGTTCTTCCTGTAGAATTATTGATGACTCTTACTCAACAACCAACACTCCCCTTTTTGAATCGATGAAAACCCCAAGATTTTTAGATTTTGTGTCTTGAACATTTTTATTGCCACATCACCTTCTAAATGAAATGAGTTCTGGGGTGAATGGTTTGCTATATGTGTGTGGGGGGGTATATGGTAACGCCTGAAAAAGTTAGGAATGAGTGCCAAAATCAGAGAGGTTGAAGCTGGAATGCTCCTCCAAAAAGCAGAGATGTGTGTATTGAAAGTAAGAATTCTGGGCCGGCCTGGTGGTGCACTGGAGAGTGCGCCCCTTGGGAGCGCAGCGGCGCTCCCGCCGAGGGTTCAGGTCCCATGTGGAGACCGGTTCCCGCTCACTGGCTGAGCGCAGTGCGGGTGCAACACCGAGGGTTGCGATCCTGTTGCCGGTCAGTAAAAAAGACAAAAAGGAAAAAAAAAAAAAAAGAAAGTAAGAATTCTCTTAAAACAGACTTAAAGAACAACCTTGACACCCACCTGCCTCACCTGGATCTCTCCATGCCTCGACTTCCATAAGACTGAAAATATCTCTGTCTAATCTGATCAAGAGCCAGAGAGTAGGTTTGCAACAACTTAGTTACAAGCCAAGACCCATTAAAACAAATAAAGAAATCCTCAGAAGCCAAAAACTAATACTCTAAAAGGCTGGTTTTTGTGTCTTTACAGAATTCTCCCAAACTCTTTTGCCCTAAGAACAGAAGCTTTGACATAGACGCCATCTACAGTGTGATTGATGATGCCAAGCAGTACGTGTACATTGCGGTCATGGATTACCTGCCCATCTCCAGCACCAGCACCAAAAGGTCAGTGAGTGCCCAGCCTCTTGTTAGAATCTGGTCTCCAGGGCCAGGCATTTAGCAGGACCCGGGAGAACCAGCCTGGGCATGGGAGGCTGTCAGGTTGCATTGGGAAGGGCGTGACATTGAAATCCTCCCGGTGTGCATTTACAACTTACCCATGATGCATCTCTTCCCTAAGTGGGTCCATTTGAAAGGCTCAGGGTCTCACCCGACAGAAGCACCTCAGTTTACATTATAGGCATGACAGCAGCTTTAAAAAGAAGGCTGGGTTGTTCTCAACTTGAAAATTATTTTAAAAAAAATGTGTTATTTGAAAAATATATAATTTAAAAATTATTAATGGAAATGTACCTGAAGGGCTTGCTGAAACCAAGTAAGTCTTGCAAGATTTTCCTAAAACGGGGCATCGGCAGTCTTCATTAAATGCTAAATTCTCATACTATCTACTCAATATAAAGGAGAAGGAAACTTAAAATATATATGTCCTCAGTCAATCCATCCGTCTGTGTGAGAAAGATCTTATAAATGGAGTTCTTTTTCAATAATTCATCATCGTTTAAGCATGCAAATACTTGGAATAAATTTAGGGGTGGAATTTATGAAAAACTCTTGGGGAAATCATTGTATGCATAAATGCATGCCGATGCCCAGGTATTCCCACTTTTGCTTTCTTGTTGGAAATATGGAGATTTTGGTGCTTGTCAATGTTTTGAATAATTAGTTTAACCCAAGAAATGTTTTTAAAGTGCACATTTCTGGGAGTGCAACCAGAGATCTCTTTAATTTGGAAAATTACAATTTCAAAATAATCATTTACTGAGGTTAAATGATTAAATGTGCCCTATATTGCTTGAACATTTTTTATGTTGCCAACCCCCCAAATGCATATTATGCAACTTCTATTAGCAAATGACTACAAGATTGCAAAAAGAGTGTTTCTCCCAGAAAGTGATTACCTGCGATGACAGTGGAAAAGCATTTTAATCTTCAAGATGAATATTATTAAAACACTTTTACTTTAAAATATTGTGCATCTTTGAACATTCGTGGATTTTTTCCTACACACTTTCACATCTTTTCTATCCCTCCTTTTTATGTTTCTCTCATTTATTTTTTTATTCAGTTTTAAATCTAGTTTTAGACTTCATCTTCACTTTGGGAAGATTTTGAAACATAACAGGTCAAAGACCATGGAGTTATGTGTTAGGATGGGTTGATGATTTCTCAGGACTGAGAAAACCTTTGTTCCATGAAGTCCCATGAACAAAATTGAAATCCTTCATAGTCAAGAAGAAAAGAATTAGCATGGATGATTTAAAATATCTTAGAAATCTAAAAGTTAGAGAAAACTAAAAAAACTGTTTAAGAACTGGAGACCCACCTGAAATTTTGCATTTTGATGTTAATCTACCATTTCAGCTGTTATCCAAAGAGCACATTTTTATTTTATTTTTAAAATTTCAAACCTAGAAATGCCTTTAGCTTTCTAAATGAAAGATCATCAAAGAGGCATAAGAAGTAGTTCAGACATCCAGATTAAAATTAAAATTTTCTCAATCATATGATTTTTAAAAAGTCAGACTGGTTACTCGTCTTTACATAGTCCTGGGAAAGTCTTTCAGGAGTGAATTCAGCTTTAATAAAGAAGTAAACACTATCAAATTTCAGTGCATCAATGGAATTAATTAATGTCTTACAGACTTAACTTTAAGCCTACACACTGCCAAACATCCAAATGAAAGAAAATCATGCTCCCAAATTAAAAATGATTGACATCATGTATAAAACATATAGCATCATTTTGCAGTCCTGATAGAAGTAACTTCTACTTTTCAAGGTTGTAAGGAGTGAATGGAACAATGATGGGTGTCTAAATAAATCCTACAGTAAAAAATCAGAAGCCTTTAGGCTGAGCCTCAGCAATAAAAAAATAAGAAAAATAAAAAACAGAAAAAAAAATTTTTTTAAAAATCAGAAGCTCTTTTTCACTCCTTCCTGATTTAGCAAACAAGCTCTCTTCAAGCAATTCTCTTAATTATTTAGGTCTCAGTTCAGGGTTGCTCATTATTTATTTTTTCAGTCACATGAAATATATCTTTCAGAAGAAAATCAGCAAATATATAAAGGACTAATAAAAATGCAACCTGATTAATCTTGGAGGTATTGATATTTTTCATGTATGTGTTCATTCAACAGATATTTACTGAACATTGTGTACTAGTGATTAAGACAAGATCAGTGTGTGGACCCAGGAGCTCCACCTAGTAGAGGCGAATGGACACAGAATAGACAATTAGAGCACAGAGGTGTGGCCGGAACAGTAGACGTATGTGTTGATTATTATAGATTCTCAGTGGAAGGGCGGCTACAGCACAGCTGCAGGGGTAGCGGTAGCCTAGTAGAGGCGATGCTACCTGGACTACATTTCAAAATATTCAGGAGTAGGTCAGAAATGGGTGAGAAAGGGAATTTTCCAGGCAGAGGAAACAGCATGAGCAAAGTTTCAGATGGAGAACAAAGGCCTGGCAGGTTCAGTGCTGCACCATGAAGCTCTGGGAATGTGGTGAGAGACCAAACCGGAGTGGGAGCCAGGCCCAGGAGTGCAGGTCTGACTGCTGGGGAGTCCTGCGACTCTAGGAGCCTCCACTGTGTTTCGGTCCAAGGAGCATCGCGACTAGATCTGCTTTTAGACGGACCCCCTTGGTGGTCGTGGAGGATGTACTTGATGGAGAGGCGGAGCAACCAATTTGGGGCAGGCACAGGCTGAAATGACTTTTCCCAGTAGTCCTCAGCAGTGTGCGTGTAGAAATAGACAAAGAATCCCAGCACTGGTTCAGGATTGAGATTTTGCCAAGGGCGAGAGGAAGGTACAGGGGCAACTGTCCTTCCAGGGTCAGGACTGGGATTAGGCTGTGCGGGCAAAGAACACCAGAGGGGCTGATGGAGCAGGCACACTGGAGGGTCGTGCACCTGTGGCCTGCAAGGGATGAAAGGCAGGTTTCATGCGATAAAGAGAGTGAGTGGGAACCTGAAAGGCAGGAGGCCAGGGTCAGATACAGAGAGGAAGCTGTTGCAGGTGCAATCGTTACAACACTGATGGGCTCAGGTTTGGATGAGTGACATGCCATTCATCCAAACAGTGACTTGGCCTGGAATTAGAGCAAGGTTTGAATGAGTAAACAGAAGGTCTGCAAACGGCAGGGCTGAGGGGGAGTAGAGAGAGAGAGATTTAAGGCTTGGTCCTTAAGATGGGAAAGTTTTTCATTTTGTTTTATTTTGTTTTGACATAAGAATTAAGTGACAGTTCTGGAGGGGCACTACGTGCTTGGGGCATGTAGAGTGGGAGGCTGCCCGCACATCCTTAACCAAGCGGCCGGGTGGTGGTAGAAAATACATGGCGGGACTTTAGGAGAAGCTGTGACCTTAGGGGAGAATCAGAGAGTTAAGGATTCAGGGAACAGGCTGAGCCTACCGGGGGAGACTGTTGGCCTGATGGAGGATTCCAACTGCCCAGGAAAAGGCGGCAGGCTAGGGAGGTGTTGGAAGCTTGGGGAGGTGAGAAGACACAGAGGACGGTCTGGAAACACGAGTGTGGGAAAGCTCAGATAACCAGAGCAGAAGCCCATTTTGGGGTCAGTTACCAAAGAAGAGAGGCTTGAGTAACAGTTGGGGACAGGAGGCATGCTCCAGGCTCCTGACTGCAATTCTGTTGGAAATCTGATTCATAGTGCACAGATGGGCTGAGGCCAGGTAGACTTGGAGGTACAGCAAAGGTGGACCACACTGTGACCCTGGTGGCAGGAGACCTCCTTTCAGGCAGGGCAGGTCCCACTAAAGCATCTCTCTTGGTGCCTAACCCAAGAGGCTGGCATTTTTTTTCAACCTATCCTATGAGGTTATTTGTATACTACGGAATCAAGTAATGATCAGATTGCTGCGAGTGTTCTCTGTCGTCTAGTAAACTTCTTTCCCCAAACTAACTTACTTTTATCTATATGGATATTATTCCTGCAGGACTTACTGGCCAGACTTGGATGGGAAAATCAGGGAAGCATTAGTTTTGCGAAGCGTTAAAGTACGACTCCTCATAAGCTTCTGGAAGGAAACCGATCCCCTCACGTTTAACTTCATTTCATCTCTTAAAGCTATTTGCACCGAAATAGCCAACTGCAGTTTGAAAGTTGTAAGTATTATATTGACTGTGTTATTAAATAAAAAAACCTTTATTCCCTTTTCGCATCCATGAAAGCTGTAAACATACAATACACATTCACATAAACATCCAGTAAGAACCAGAGTAACAATCTTTGATGGAGAAAAATACTTCAGAAGGTAGGGAAAGTCATTTTTCAAAGCAATCACACACGGAAAAGGAGCACACAATCCAAGTGTCCCAGTGTCCTCTCGGTCTCGCCTCTTTGCACGCTTCTGTTGTGTCTCTCCATTCTGTCTGAACAGCCTCATTCACCTGCTGCTCTTCTTTGTGAGACTGTGGCCAACAGCACATTGGAACATGCACCAGCACAGACCCTCACCCCGGCCCGAAAGTCCCCCTAGCCCAGGGTCCTGGGCCCGTTCCAGGTCCCTTGGGCCACATATTAATCCATCTCTTAATACCTTGAGGGAGACAGGATTGGGAATTGGTAACACTCTAAATGTGTACCTCTAGCTCATCTCTGACCTTGCTCTGCTCCTGACATGTATTACCCTCCTCGCCCCCTCCAGTCACGCCCTCTGCCTAGAACATTCTTCTTGTCCATGCTTCACCTGGCTACTGACCACTAATCTTTGGCAGGCTCTCTTCTAGGTGAGGGGCTGTGCTCCTTGCAGCATTTAGGGACCCCAGGTGACAAGAGCTCTGCCATCAACTTTGACTTGTGGCTTCCAGCATTGCCCTGACCTTCAGTATCTCAAGGCCAAATGGGAAAAGAGGGAGATTGCAGATTGCACTGCGTGGGAGGTGTTTGTGGGTTAGGCCTGGAGGTGGCGGACAGCCCTTTAGCCTCCACTGTGCTGCGTAGACATCACTACACAGCCACACATAATGGCAAGGGAGCTTGTGAGTGTGTTCAGAAGGGCCACTGTGTTCCCAAGGGGACAAGGGATCCAGTTCGTGAATCTTTGCAGCCTGAAGTGCTGGGCATTCGCTATCCATTTTACTCTCTTCGCGCATAGAGAATCCTCATCTTCACCCCACCCCACCCAATAAAAGAGAAAATGCAGATTGTCACCCCATCACGGCACAGCTTAAAGTTCAGGCTCTCCCAGTGAGGTGCGGTTCTCACCGGCAAGTCTGGAACTGGCACCTCCTAGTTGGTGATGTAAAAACTGAACAAAAATAACAGTAACTTACCAAAACCCACAACCAGGTTACGATCACCTCCCTCTCACACAACAGGGGCAGGGTAAAACCGGGAGGCCCACAGCAATGACAAAATCTCTCTGAGTAGCAATCATGACGTCCTCATACCCCTGCTGGTTCAAATCAGGGACCCAAGGGTGTTTTAAGGCATGAACAGTTAAAGGAGTTTTTGGTCCTAGTTCATGATTTCTTTGGCAATGCAGTTTTCTCATACATTTAGTAGGCTTCTGGCCCACTTGCTTCTAGTCATTTCCATGCCCCAGTAGTCACATCCGAAGTTTCTGGTTGCACATAATTCCCAAACTTGATTAATCACGATTCCTTGCCTATATATACATCTCTCTCTCTCTCTCTCATGGTAACCTCACTCAGACCATCAGACCAGGGTGGTAAGATGACACCAATTATTTGCTCTTTGCTACAGGACTGAGTCATAACTGGCTTTGGTCACTTGAAGGATTTTTCAAACTTATTTTCTACTGTTGGGCTCTAGGGACAGTCAGCTTTTCCAGCCCTTTGAAATACCACATTTCTGGTCCATCTCTTCTCTCTCACTTCTGCTGGCAACCCAGCCGGTCAGTCCTTTCCTGAGCTTCCTTCTCTCTCCTCTAATAACTTTCTAAAAGCACAAATCACAGCCAACACGCACTGCACACAAATTGTTTTCCAATCCATATAGGCAAAGCTCTATAAGCCAAAGATTAAGTGGTACTTGGTTTTCCTTCTAAGTAAATGCAGATATGGTTTTACCAAATAGTTTTCCGCTCTACAACAAACACAGTAACTTTCAAAAGGAGAGAACAGAACTGAGGTTACTGGATGTGGGAAAGGGGTGGGGCGAAGAGAGGAATCCGTAAAGGGCCACGAAAAATGATTACACTGTAGTATGTTAAATATACTAATTACCCTGACTTAAGCATCACATATTGCACACAGATAATAATATTCGACTCTGTACCCCACAGATATGTACAATTAACTATGTTACAATTTAAAGAACAAACGAAACTACCCTCCTCCAAATAAAAAAAAAAGTCACAAAGACATTTTTAACAAATAATTTATTTTTCCCTCTGCTTAGCCGTGGTCTGCATCTTTCCATCCTACAACACCAATTTACTCACTGCCTGCTGCCCACTGGGTAACCCAACGCCACACCATTTATTGAGGTTTTGTTATTGCAGCACCCACCTCACATTGCCCGGACATTGGAAGGACTTAACACGTTTTCAACAAGTGAAGGAATTTGTTGTAGTCATGAGTGTGTGTGATTAGCCAGGCACCAACTTAAATGTTTCCTATATGTATATAATTCAATATTCACAACTACGCTGTGAAGCAGCTGCTTTTGCTATCTTACAGACATGGGAACAGAAGCTTAAGAGAGATTAAATAACCTCCCTCAAGGACACTAGCTAGCAGTGGAGCAAGACTCAAATACAAATCTTTCTAATCCCAAAACCTCATACTCTATGGCCTCTGCAAGCGGAACAGATCGTTGAAGTTACAAAGTTATTTGTAACTTTCCTTTCTGTATTCAAAAACATCATATACTGTATCTGCTCAAAGATGTGAGAAGCTACACATCTGAATTATATCTCTGAGGATCAACAAAAATGTCAAAAAAGATGTTTTTAACCCATTCATGCCATTAAAATATTTTAAAATTCATTTTCACGAAATCATTAACAATGAAAATACGTAAAACTTTAGAATCCGCTATAAATTTCCAAAAAAAATAATGCTTCTCACTTGTATTTTCATCTTTATCTCTAACATTCTGGTAACATTGATGAAAACTAGAATTCTTATCCCTTTTAAACTAGTTTTTGTAAAGTGAGGCGACCATGCACTTATCTGTGAGTTCACAAATCCATAGAAGTATTGGAAATAAAAACATGACGATATCACTACCACAGATCTGTTTTCTAGGCCAGATTTGCAAATAAATGAAATAACCAGCCATTGGATCTGGGTGCCAACTTGGGGCTGGGAGTCAGATATGGGGGATCAGAGGAGAAGCTGGTATAGTCCCAGGAAGTCAGACAGAGACACAGGAGAAGAGTCTGATTATGTCCAGCATCTTTCCAGAGACAGGACTATGGCTGGGATTGCTTCAACTCGGGGACAGCATTTTCCAGATGATTGAAGTGGCACACAGAGCTCTAGGGAAAATCAAGCGTTTAGTTCACCAGGGTATTCCCAGAGCCTAGCATGATGCTTGGCACAAAGCGTTCAAAGCATAGGTGTTGAATGAATGAGTGAATGGTGAATGAATGAAATCAAAGAAGGGAGCTGAACAAAGTAGAGGGGGCAGAAAGGTTCTTCTGTAAGCAGAGCCCAGAAGGATGCCTGAGTCCGAGGCGTGCTTAGCCATTTTCTGCAGGCGTGGGCTGGAGATGGGTGGCCTCGGGAGCGCAGCGTGCTCGCATTCAGAGGAGCCCCAGCCTGGGCCTTACAAGGTCTGGCAGGAGCCGAGAGGAGATTGTCTGGGGCCTTGGCACACAGTAGGTGCATTTGCTTTTATCTCCTCTCCCAACTTTTCCTCAGGCCAATTCAGGGCTCCTGCTCCCCCTCCTCCCCCCCCAGCCCCAGCTTCCTGACCCCACAGCACACCTGCCACTGAGGCAATGCAGTGGAAAGTTCTGGGGTATGAACTGTTAAGTGCTTTTACTTAAGACTTGTAAGAAATGAGCAAAAATTGGAATTGTGTTTTAACCTCTACAGTACTTCACCAGCTTCACCTTTTTGAACACAGATGGTCACATTTCTTGAATGAACCAAGCATTAATAGCTCCCCGCTGGCTACTTTATATAAAACAGAGGCCGAGCATTTCTAAGCCTAGGTGGGGAAGAAGCTTATGGCCCCAACATCTAGAACACAGACGGGTGAGAGCACTTCCAAGAAAAGTGGCCATTGGAATTTTGCATATAGCAAGTCTTCTGGAGCCTCGGAGCACTGAGAGAGCAGATGGCCTGGGAACAAGGCCAGGAAACTGTCACCTCTCCCCCAGGTGACGGAGGTGCAAAGGATTACTCAAAGCCCATTTCTCCAGAGCAGTGAGCGGCCCAAAGCGGTTACCCCCAGGAATAATTCTTTCAAGAGAAGAAAGATCCCAGGCATAGCCTCGAATCAGGTTTTCTCTCCCTTTTTATTGTCCAGGCAAGAAAGTTACAGAAAAGGAACACAGGTGGTTACAAAAAGAACAATGAGATAATTGTCACACTTTCCCATCATAAGGTTTAGCTGCACCAAGGACCTCTGCCCCTAGAGCCAGCAATTTTGCTGTGTTATAATTTTTTATCTACAACAGAGACTTTAGCCCTGGGAAAGTTTTCTGTCTTTCCCAGGCTTAGCATTTCCATGTGCAATACTAGAAAGTTAGACGTTTGCTTTATTAATGTTGGTATCCTCCACAGGAAACTGCCCTCAGAGGAGCAGGCACCCCCACCCCAGCCTCATGTGGGTTTGTGGCCAAGAGAGACTCATGGCAAGAGAGGGCGACTCACAAGATTACCCCAGCTGGGAGATTGCAGATTGCACTGCGTGGGAGGGGTTTGTG